AATGACTTTTAATATCACTTTTAATGTAAGTCACCCCTGAATTTAGAGTTAAATTTATTTAAATTATTTCAGTTACATTGGACAGTATCATAATAAATTCTTTTTTTCAGTCACCCACAAAATGTTAAGTAGTTTTAGGCTGAACATGCTCATCCCGAAGTTTCTGTGGGAATCTTTGCTACTTCAATCTTGCCACAGTAGAAGACTAGATAAACTCTGGCCCTGGAAGTGAGCTGAACCCCAGGGAGGAATTGTCAGAGACACACTTGCAGGCCCTAGTTTTTTAATGTCACCCATTAAAAATGGAATATCCTGGTTAAAGCCCTTCACTGTTGATTCAAAGTCATTATCCTCAGTGTGGACATAGTACCAGGATTCCACCAGGCATGGTCACCTGAAAGGTGAGTACAGAGTTCCCACCAGGCATGCTCATCTGAAAGGCACTCCCTCTGACGTGGAACATGGAGCTCTAGATAGGAAAATCTTTGTGTGGTGCTTGATTTTCTTACCTCCACATTGATGACAGTCAAGGACAATCAAGAGCTTCGTGCCCTGACCAGGGTTCTAGATAGCTTCCTGGTGCCTTGTGTGCTGTCCATACCTTAGCCTTTTACTTGTGCCTCTTACAAAACCATGGTGCAGGATGGATTCAACATGGTGGCCTTTTCAACCCCAGCTCTACTGATTCCTTAGATCCAGTGACTTCATTGTCATGGGCTTTCCTATGCATTACAGGACACCAGCAGCATCCCTGGCTTCTTCCTACCCACCAGATGCCAGTCATGCATCCCCACTCATGACCAATGAATCCCTTCTGATTCTGCCCATCGTCCTGTGGGAGTCAGAACCTCAGTGCCTACATCTAGCTGTGGTTTCTTCCAGTAGCTCCATGACAATATCTTCATGTGTCCCAGCTCTGCTTTTAAAGAACTGAGGCCTCATCTGGGCTGCTGAGCTTGGGTTATCACAGCTGTATATGTGTTGCACCTCAGCAATGGGGCATATGAGTCTGAGACTAAGTGGCCTGAAGCCTTCCTACACTGTCTAGGTTTGATCTCTTCATGTAGTGGTAGTGACATTTTGTCCACATTTTATTTTATTTTTTATAAATGAGCAAGGAAGATCCTCTCTGTATTTTTAGACATATAAAACTTAGTTACTACTGTTTTTTGAAATAATATTACAGCTTACTAAAATTTTTTTCGAAAAGAGATTATGTAGATATGCATTAGGTATAGGAAAAGATGCTGACTAAGCATCAGGAAATACAAATCAAAACCACATTGAGACACTGCCTCAATTTATAAAGACAACACTGTTGTTAAATGTTGACCAAGGAAAAGGGGGCCGCTGATGGTGGGAGTGTGGGCCACCACAACCACTGTGGTAAACCCTGTGAACTGTCCTCAGGAAACCGGAACTGCCACCATAAGGGCTATATCTTTACTCATGAGGTCAATGTTATCTCAGAGATGTCTGCACTCACCATTGCAGCCCAGTTCACACCAGCCAAGACATGTGATCCCTCTCAGCCCTTGACATCATTCTTCATGTTTGCAAAGGAACTAAAGCATAACACTTGTCACTGTGGTCACAGTTGGTGAAAATTTCATACCCCCCCATAAGGAAATATTAAAAGACAACAATTTGTGAAAGTTTTGACCATGTCTTAACATCTTAAGTTACTGTCACATCTAACTTTTGCCTATTGAAGGTTTCTGTTCTAATCTCATGGGTGTCGATCATTACCAAGCTTAAATTAAAAACAAACACATGACTGCCTTAAGTAATTACCCCATAATTGTTAATCTAAGTATGTTTCTTACCGGAGAATAGTTCCCGGCGTCCTACCCCTATGGCGTCACATGTTGACTCTCTTGTCTTTCTCCTTCCCAGAATCCTCCTGGACTCCTAGCCCCACCTATCTAGATTCCTATTGGCCAGCAGTAATTTATTGACATATACACAGGACTTCCCCAACATCTCCTCTTTTCTGTTTAAACAAAAAGAAAGGTCTTAACTTTAACATAGTCAAATTGTATATGACAGAACAGTTATCAAGTAAGAACACAGTTACAACATTTTGTCTATTAACATTTAGCAAGATCTAAAGAAAATATCATCCATCCCATCCTTGTGAGTCCAAAGTCCTATATGTAGCTTATCTTTTATCATAACTAAGGAAAACTATAATTATAACTATCTGTCTTCAACTCCATCAAAGACCACAGAAGGATAATATATAAACACTAGGATTGACAGAGACATCTTACTGCCTGGACAGTCACCCGAAGTTCCTCTGTAACGTTGGGGCATCCATCTTCAGCCCATAGGCCACAATGTGTCTGGAACACTTCTCAGCAAAGCAGGAAATTTCAAACTGTCCATCTGCATTGGCAGTCTGTCATTAATTTTTCTTTGTCCTGCAGAAAGTCTCGCAGACTCTTCCATGAAGCAGGAACCCTGTAAGACTGAGTTCAGCATTCACTTTCCTGTGGGTCCTGCATGTCCAGATTATACAACAACAGTCAAACAGTCTAGGCAAGAGCAGTTTCTTGCCCAAATGGCTAATCTTGCCATGTTGAAAGCAAACTTTATAATGAGTTTCTTCGATGCCCATCTTCCTCTCAGACGTAATTGGTGCTGCCAGGAGCAGACATTTCTCATTGTCAAGACAAACCCTAAACCATTTTAAATGCCATGTTCTGAAGGTCTTTGAGAGGTTTGAAGACTGTCCATCTCAAATATATTTCTGTATATCTAGAAACCTAACTTATGTAACTAGAAATTCTATTATAAGTAACTATCTATAGTCTGTATTCAATTATGCATTACGTTGTAAAAGATCAGTATACTTAATCAAGAGGAGAAATATAAGCATCACAAAACTGACCTTGAATTTGTATCAATAAATGAAAAACAATACCCATACCATAATTCCCCTTTTTACCATTAAAAAAGATTGGCTGTGATCATTAGCCAATTATAAACAACCCCATTTAAATGAAAACAAAGATTTATAAACAAGATGGGAATTGGGACATCGCTTATTCCAAACTGCTTCCTGGTGGAAGGGGGCGCTGTTCATACCATGGGGATCATGACAAAACTCAGAAACCTGTATCAGTCCCTATTTTCCGGGCCTGTAAAACTGCATCATCTTAGCCGTTTCAATTGTTGGAACATCTGATCCACTGCTTCCGGGGGTCTTGGTTCGTGAAACCACAGAAGCCTGGAAGGAATCTTCAGCTTTTCATTTTCTGTAGAAACATAAATAAAAACTCCTTTTCCGAGTAACATATCCTTATGCTTAAATTTTTAAGTCAAGGTATTTTCAAAAGATATAAGTTGTATTAATTTAGCAGCATTTATAATCAAATGTACTTTAGCAGTTGCTCCTTCCTTAGCAATGAAAAAACTGAAAAACACAATAGCGTACAGTATCCAGACTCTCTGTGTGATTTTCATCTTTACGTGGCTTATTTATTTATCTATTATTACTTTATTTCTTTCACTTTCATTTATTTTTCTCTGAGACAGGGTTTCTCTTTGGAAATCTGCCTGCCTCTGCCTCTGGAGTAAATCCTACCGGCATGCGCCACCACAAACCGGCTTTTGTATTTATATACCACTTTGCTGTTTTATTTTCTCTCTTAATCTCATGTATATTTTTAAACACACTGTAAACCTTTAGAGATTTTCTTCATCCAAGTCTGACTTTACTGTAAATCTTTATGTTTTTCTGGCCACGTGTCTTATCTGTAAAACCGCGGCTGTTTTAAACTGCCGTTTCAAGATGGCGGGCGTAAGCGTGATTTCAGCTTACCGCCTCAGTCCATGCTGACATCCAGCAAAAACTGCCACTTCCAGCTGTACGTACACATCTTTCAATCGTTAGCAGAGTCTCTTAAAAGAACCTTGTTGGGTTTTTTTTTCTTTTTATGCCGAGTCAGGAAGACTCCAGTAAGCGAGCCACGTGAATCTCGGCTTGTCGCTAGCAAAACACCTGAGAAAAATGCTGCTATCAAAAATCTGTGCTTCTCTCCGTTCTTCTGTTTCTAAAATTCCTTTAAAGCTTTTGTTGTTTTGCGTGGAAATTCAATCCCACTCCTGACACCATTTTGTTAAGAGAAACTTTTTCCTTGAGAAGGAGCCGTCCCGCCCGCCTGGTTCCAGATCCGCATCAGTCCCAAATAAACACACAGGAGGCTATATTCATCATGAAGCTGTTGGCCTTGCTTGTCTCTTACTGGCTAGCTCTGCCTTAAGTAATTACCCCATAATTGTTAATCTAAGTATGTTTCTTACCGGAGAATAGTTCCCGGCGTCCTACCCCTATGGCGTCACATGTTGACTCTCTTGTCTTTCTCCTTCCCAGAATCCTCCTGGACTCCTAGCCCCACCTATCTAGATTCCTATTGGCCAGCAGTAATTTATTGACATATACACAGGACTTCCCCAACACATGACAAACAGTTGTAGTTTCCTGAGAGGCGATCCTGTTGATGAAATGGAGAAGACCATGGACCTTGTGAGTTCTCTGAAAAAATATCTGTACATGACATGTGAGCAGACTGGATCTACCATGCAGTCCTAGCCTATACAGTGTGGATTTGGGCCTTTGATCTATACCATCTGGTGGGCATATATTTTACTGTTTGGCTGGAGCACACTTATGTGCTCAAGGCTATAGATTCCCAGGGAGCAAGCCATCAAGATGATACTTGCTCCTGAGACCACAATGATGCATTTGCAAGATAAACGTGTTCAAACACTCCTTCATCCTGGGATTGTATACCTGGGGGATGGAGGGATGGGGGTGAGGGTTGGGTGGAGGGATGGCTGTTTAGACATAGCATAGTTATTGTCAAGGAGGGCTCTTTACTTTTTTGGGGGGGTCTGATGGAATCTTCCCAGCATGGCCCCAATGATTCTTGCATTAGTGGGTAAACATCATTTGTCACTCAGAATAACAAAGTGGGAAGAGAATGTTAACATACCTATAGATAATACATGCACTGTTCCTGCACGTGTCACAATTAGCTGTGTCTTGCCCCGTCCGATATGAAAGCCTACAAGATAAGAACAGGAGAGCATTACAATCAGTGGCTGGGGGTAGGGGGCCGGCCGCTGACCTCACAGAGCAGAGAAGCCTCTATGCAGATGCCTTCCCAACGTGACATGTGTGATCATATGAACTGATGCCTATATGTTTACCACTGTGCTCCTGTTTCTGTCTTCATGGTACCAGCCAGTACCCATCTACAGCCAAGATGGCACTAAAATTAAATTTAGAATGTGAACATACACTCCTGGATGACATGTGTAATCTGATTGTGTTATAACCATGAGGAGTGGGGGGTTTAAAAGTAGCTTTATGTTTATTGTATTTTTTTAATTTTTATTTTTAAATTTAAATTTAAACTAGAAATGTTTATTGTATTTTTAAAAGATCTTCCGGGGAAAACCATGAATTTAGAGGCTGACAACTGCCTGGTTTTATGACCTACCAACTCCTGTCCTGCTAAATCAGGGTTTGACATGCATGGCCTCTGGCTCAAATCCTACCCCCTCCTCAATAACTGGTTTGTCTAGCCTTCCCAGGATGGATTTCACATTGTTAAATGCTTGAAAAAGAGTCCAAAGAATACTATCTATAAGATGATTCAATAATGTATGTCTCCAAGGGGTTTCATTCTAACCATAAAGATTGTGATTTAAAACATAGGTGAATATGCATATAATTTCTTTGGGTTTATCTTTTTGGTCTATAAATTCCAGAATATTCCCTTAGTAGATCTGTAGAGAAAAACAGCTGCTGTCATCTGTGACTGTGTCTGTCTTACTGTCAAGACTTGTGATGCACTCTCTGGCTGTGCCATTTGCTAAGTAATGGCTCTGTGAGGACATAACAACTTCAGTTCACTCTGGAGACCAAGCAGGTGTTTGAGGTGTGTGTGTGTGTGTGTGTGGCACACAGGTATGTCAGGGGTTGTAACTTCCTTATAATAAAATAACTAACTTTTGAGGATTGTTTTGTAGTTAGTATTGAAACTTGCTTTGATTTGATGGGGAGATTTACCAGGTCAGGTTTACCTACAATCTTGGGCCATTCACCTCCAAGAACCTTGTGTGTGGTGCTTTATGCTCCCTCCCAACTACTCTATGTTGGGTGGACTTTCTGCTCCTTCTAAAATGCATGAATACTGTATTCTAAACATTGTTTGCACCCAGGCCCAAACAGGAGCAACTGAATCTGTTTAGTTGATGTTGGGCGAAATGTTCCCATCTGGATTTATTTCTAATCACTTTTCGGGCAGATCTGCATGGACAGCATCACCCAGCAAGGGAGCCATGTGTACAGTGGCTATGTCAACACCAATGGTGTGTGTTTGTGACCTCTTTTGCTTTGTACACTGTGTGCATATGCATCATGAGTTTCAAACTGTTTACGCGTTTACATTTTGTGTTATGTAAACATCTCACAAAAGCACTGGCTGCTCAATACTGATACTGTCTCTGTGGGCTCAGTAAATGTAGGCATGACTTTGAGTTCAGTGTAGTTTATTTGAGTTGGGTGTAGCTTCTTTGTTAATCAGGTAATCATATTCTGCCCCAAAACTTTACCAGACATATTCTATGATTCATTGAAAATGAGTTAGAATCACAATATTACCATGTCTGTAATGTCCCTCTGCTATACTGGGCACCTTTGGACAACCATGTCTGGCCTTTCCACCTGGGTCATGTCACCCCTCTGTTCCTTGCCATGTGGGACAGTTCATGTTCTTGGCTCTTTTCGCCCATAGGTAAGCCCCAAGTATACACACTGGCTTTGTCCCATCCTAGCCAGGGCCCTTCTCTAACATTTTGAGAATGCACAGGGCCATTTTCTTTTCAGTTTACTCAAGACAGCTTGGCCCCCAGCTTCTTCTTGGCCATAACTACCCTACACTAAGAAATAAGTGCTGTCCTTGTGTCCACATCCTTGGTGTGACATCCAAGCTGTGTCTGTCCATGCTGATGGGCTGTCAGTCTGGTGGGCTGGGTTACCCACAAAGTTCTGCTCTCCCAGTGGGCATAAGCCATAGAGAGGCGGTGCACCTAACAGTCTTTTGTGCTAGCCACATCCAAGCTCTAGTGCTTAAAGAGGCTCCTGTGGTTCCCTACCACTGTCTGGGGCACTCGTTGGTCCACTTCAAGCTCCTAGTCCTTCCTGTCATAGACCTAACTATCACTTCCACTGGGCCTGGACATTTTTTTCTCAGTAACCTCTAAGCCTCAAGGGTCTTTTATTAGTGCTTGGAGTCTTCCAATTAATTATTCTCTCCTCATTTTATAGTACAGAATCCAGCCACACTCTAGGCCCAGGATCTCATTATTCTCAGACCCCAGGCTTCTGATGTTCTATACTGCCGTGCCTCTATCCAGGGACCTGTGTTTTTCAGTACATGTAATTGGCAGCTTGGGACAGTCAATGAATCCGAAAATGACAGGACAAAGGCTTCAGGCACCAGAGAGTCACAAGAGGACCCTCCTCCAGGATGGTGGAATACTTTTAAAAAGAAACTGTCCTTTCTAAGCTCTCCTGAGATGACTATACTAATCACTTGTAAAATGCACACATTTCTATCCCAGTCTGTTAGCAAGTGCCTACTAAGTCAGGCATGCATGTGGCTGACCAGAAGCTAACTGTGATGATGTTAAGTACTTGCTCTTAGGAAGTGCTCATCAGAGGTAGAGGTATGTGGTCACCCAACAGGGAGGGTTGCATGGTCTCCTGATGTTGGTCACATTGCTGTTTTCTTGGTGGTATTTTTCTTGGTGGTATTTCCCATCAGCTTTCCCTCTCTGAGATGTATGTTCAGGACTTTACCTACCAGAACCTCTTCTTGGAGACCCCTTCTGCATCTCTCTCTCTCTCTCTCTCTCTCTCTCTCTCTCTCTCTCTCTCTCTCTCTCTCTCTCTCTCTCTCTCTCTCTCATTTAAAGCAATCAAACTAGTTAGCAAGGGATGACCTTGGGATGAAAATGTAACTAGCCAGCAACTAGTGTCAATCAATGACTCAACTGAAATTTATCCAATGAAGGAATGAAGGAGTCTTCTCCATACAGGACTTTTGACTAAGGAATCTGTTGTGCTCTGTGTTAAATGATCTTGGACCTTCTAAACTATAGGATTTGGCTTCACTGATCATATTAGGACCACATTAATAACTGGAATGCAGTATTTGAACTTGGTCTGTGCTGCAAACACAGACATCACAGATAATGCACTTCCACTCAAGGACTAACCAGGCCGACCCTACTTAGCTTCTGAGAGGAGGCAAGATTGGTACGTTTAGGGTGGTATGGCCATAGACCAGATGCACTCTTCTTGAGGGCAGGAGCACTAAGTGCCAATCAAATGCCCTTGCTTTCTCCCTGTCCCCTGAGACCCCTTTTCATAAAACCAGCATTTGGAAGGACTGTCTCTCTGTCTCATTATTGTAACTGAGAAGAGCAATGCCAACGCTGAGACCACTGCAGCAAGAACTTCTTCGGGAGCAGTAAGGCATAGATTTCTGATGAATCATGAGTTCATGAATGTAACAGCCTAAGTTACTGACCGAATTTTTTTTTTGGGTGGGGGGGGGGTCCTGAGAAAGTGCTGACTTTGTTAATTTTTCTCATTGTTTGCTTTCAGGCATCCCTGCTTTATACTCAATTATGTGCACATCTTAAATTCCATACCTGTTCCCATCAGCTTTCTCTGTTAATATGACTCTGGCCAACTCTTATTGCAGTTGGGGTTTGTTTTCTTACTCTAACGTCATGAACAACATGACTCAAGTGACAAGTGAGTGGCACATTTGAAAGGGAAAGATACATTGTGAATAGTTCTTGTCTCAAAAGATGAACCCCTCTGGACTCTAGTGGCAGAAAACATCTGTCCCGTGTAAAGACAACTTAGCACTGCCCCACTGTAGTGACCTATAAGCCTTCAGTCTTAACAGATACTTATTAGATTTGAAAAAATAAGATCCAGCACCAAGGACAGCACTCAGGCCAAGGAGCAGTTTAAAATCTCTCTCTCTCTCTCTCTCTCTCTCTCTCTCTCTCTCTCTCTCTCTCTCTCTCTCTCTCTCTCTCTCTCTCTCTCTCTCTCTCTCTCTCTCTCTCTCTCTCTCTCTCTCTCTCTCTCTCTCTCTCTCTCTCTCCACCTATCTGCCCATCCCCATTCATGAGTGTGTATCTGTGGATAGCTCTGAATGAGTGTCAAGCCCTACACAGAACAGAATCTCACTTTTGCTTAGGACAAGACGACGAGGCCATTTGTGAGAGCCCAGGGATCTGCCTGTCTTTCCATCTCGTGATCACAGGGATTATAAAAGCATGCCAATAAAGTCAGCTTTTTACCTGGCTTTTGGTGACTGAATGCTCACACTTGAAAGGCAAGTACTGTAGTGACTGATCCATATCCTCATACCTGTGTACCCCTTTTCCTTGGTTCTAGTACGCCATTCCAACTCAGAACCCAAATCCATCACTCAGCTTCCTTCTCTTTGCTGATGCTCTTTGAAAACACCCTTGTGTAGGAATGGGCTTTCTGTACTTAATAGATAATATTAGTCTTGAGAAAATAGGATCTAGCACCAAGGACAGCACCCTTGCCAAGGGGCAGAGAGAGTGTGTGTGTGTATAAGGTACAAGTAACTAGACATGATTTAGAAACTTCATAAGGATGTGAAGATTATGAGTTCCATGGAACCTGGACAAGGACTCGGTATTCCATGGAAACTGAATTTAGACAAGTTTGCTTTGCAGGCACTTCTGAGAGAGACCATCCATAGCATCACTTCTGCTTTGATAGGAAACCTTATTTCTCAACAAAGTTTTACATCATTTTTTAAAAGTACAGTGAGTGTGATTTGCAGAATACAGCCTGCATCTCAGCCTGTCCCTGCCCAGAGAATCAGATGGGTGCCTCCCTGTAATGGCCAGGGCTCCTTGACTTCAGTTCAGCATTTCAGTCTCCCTCGCTATGGAATGCTTTTGTAGTAATTTGCTACACTTCTTCAGTTGTTGTTAG